TAACACCTCGAAATACACATTTGCGTCCCCACAAAGTGTATATATTCTTGGTCAGCATACAATTCTATGTCGATCTAGCTATGTCCGCCCATCTATTTGTCCGTCTTTGGAAATCACTCTAGCTTCCGACCGAAATGAAGTAGGTTGATAAATTATTACTCAGATGTGTTTTCGTAATGGAAATGAGCTATACGGATCACGATTTGGTATAACCCCCATTTAACTGTTCAGACAGAAATTTTTTTTTTAATTTTTTGAATTGTCTGAAACATAGTATTTAGGGTTCGCAGTAGGCACCACCTTTACATCAGAATTATTTCAAAGTTCGCAGTGGGTACTGCTTTCTATGACAGAAAATTGCCCCTACAACAGAATTATCTTAAACTTGGTGTTTGGAGTTCATTATGGCCACCTCCTTCTCTGGCAGATAATTGGTTTTAAAGGTCCACGTTTTCGTATAACCCGATATAACTGTGACACCTTCTCTGGCAGATAATGAAATACGTTTAATCAATAAAAACTGCTGTGCAGTGTCTGGGATAGTCACAGCCTTAAAAAATAAAAGCGAAAATATTGCTGTGCTGTGCGGTGCTGCAAAGATTCCACAGTCACGTGGTTGTCAAAGTTAGCTGATGTGAAAGTGATCACAGCATAGTGACAGTTTTGGGTTTGGGTTCTGATCGCTGTGGCTGTGACGTATGTACAGCGATATCGCACTCAATGTTATATGATGTTGGCTGCCAGGTGCTGTGAAATATTCACACTGACATGACCGTAAGTTCAACGCAGCAGTAAGATGCGACTGTAATAGATCCATTTTCATCCCGTCTCTAAGCCGAACCACGTAAAGCCAATTGGTTCCATTGTTTCAAGGACAACAATTGACATTGCATTTTTGTTGAATCATTACTTATCGTTAATACTGTTTTGTTGTAAAATCGCCTCTCTGAATGACATGAGCAAATTGAAAATAGTGCAACAGCGGAATGAAAAAAGAAAAGCAAACTGCACTTGAAATCGCTTATGCAAATGCCACTTTTCCATTTGTCTATTCACTGAAGTGGACGACTTAGCTTCCACGAATATGTTTGTGGTTTGTGTCGCGAACATGCCTCGAACCTTGAACTACAAATCAGCGAGGCTTAGCCATGCTTGGACTAGTTGCAACTGAACGTTCTGTTTGGTGGGTGGACAACAGAAGCAGGGTTTGTTCTGTACAGTATACAGTGCAGGTCGTGTTGTATCTACATGTGCTGCATTGGATGACTGATGTCGCCACTACTTCCGAAATGACAAATGGTGTCAACATATCAGCCGACACATCACTCCTGCTTCCGTTCATTCGCTGGCTATCCTTCCGCCGAGCATTGCAAAATGAACCAAATTTACATGACACTTCGAAAAGTTGTTTGTGGCTGGTCTAGTCGAGATAAGCAAATGCATGCAAAAGGTTTTGTTATTTAATTCTACGATTTTGCTTCTCGCTTACCCTCTCGCCCGCGACTGAAATGAAATAAATTTAAATTCATCGCTCCGTGGCTTCTGAAATGATTACCGGCCACTGCGCACAAAGTGCCCAATCCCGCGCACTCATGAAAAATTCATTGACTAACAAATTATAATAAAAACAAAACCGTGGACCGTCGAGGCCTTCTTCCAAAATGAGTCAATTATTCAATTCTACATTTAAGTATAATAGATTCATCTACATTCAGAGTCGCCAATGGAAAACGACAAGTCCACGTATCTAAATGTGAACTGATATATTGGGGTGTGAGACGAACTTTCGAACGGGGCTGTGGTTCAATGTGTTGCAAACCTATAAAATGCCTATAATCGGCCGGCACCGGTGTTTAAGGGCTGTGCCAATACGTGAGCCGATTTCAATTTTTTGTACCAAGTTGACGTGCTCAATGAAACTCCAATATTAAATTATAGGAAATTCCGCTTAATAACTAGGTCAAAGCCTCAAAATGTATAACATCGTACGGGACCGTTTAATAGAGGATTTTTAATTCCCTCTATCTATATATATCTAAGTCATTACTTTCTGCGATTACAAAACAAGGAAACTCAATTCAATATTGAATGCCTTGAATGATCTGCCCTATTTCACATTAATTATCGATAAAGTCGGTCAGATATGCACTTGAGGAATATAGCGTTTGTGTGGAGAGTTAAGTAGGTCTTTGTAGGGCTTTGCCTCGATTTAGGTGGTCTTTCAGATACCTTTGTACCACTGACTGACCAACATTACAAGTGCTGTGCGACAGAAAATTTTGACACTCAAAATGAAATCTTTTGCACTTAGCGATTCCACTTTGACAACGAAATGTGTCGTCTGTTCATTATGTAGTCACATATTGATGATGTAATTCGCCCGCGCAGGACAGTGTGGCATAGTGAAATAACCGGTTGGTTATGGTATGTGATAGGTGTCATTGGCTGGACAAGGCCTTAGCAAAGGTCGTACGGCAGGAGAATGTGTAGAGCTTCAAAGCGCACACATCGCGGTTGGAGGCAAACGCATTTATTGATTATTTCGAGAATGTTATGGGATATTCCCTCTGTACTCGGGGAAATTGACAGCACGTGCGATCCCATTAAGGACCCCAATTGCATACCGGACCTTCGATTTTGTTTTGGTTTGTGATTAATCATCGGTGACGATGTTGCTACTCTTAATTGGCTGCGAATGTTTAGATACTTTGGCTGTTTCTTTGTCCTGGTGTTTGTATTGTTTCGCTCGGGTACATACACACATCGGCATTGACAGGATTGGTCTGTGATGCCTGTAGGTTTCAGGAGCAGCTGCGACGGCTGCAGCATTACTGAATTCACACACTGCTTTGTTGGTGTCCTTCCTATTGGTGTTGTTAGTGCTTCAAGTATTTTGTTGTTGCGTTTTGTCAATTCCTCTTAGGGGTGGTTTGTGATTTTGTGGTGTGGTGGTGTCCTCCAATTCCCTGTTTTGTTTCTTTTGCAACTCACAGCATCCACAATATTCACGATTGCGGCACGTTTTAACACAACAACCGACAAGAGTAACAAGGGTGGCTCAATGGCATTTTCCATCCGCTACAACGGCAGAATGCAGTCTTTCTTAGTTATTGATATTGAAGTCTGAAACAAACCGGGACAAAGCTGATGCGACATCTCCTTTGAAAATAATGCCCATGATGGCTTCGATTCCATCAAAGTCAATATTCGGAAAAAGAGAATCGTTCTGAGATAATTTTGTGGACCTATGTTGACATACCAACCAACAGGCCGAGCAGACACGTATTTTGGCCGTATCAGACAATATATATCCCAACAAACCTATGATAGACGAAACTATCTACAAATCACCCTGCTGAGCAATTATTTTTACATGGACACGTCCACCGAAACAAGTAGTTGTTATTTGACCACAAAAAAAAAACTATTTGCCGACACTTTGTAACGGGTGAAGTAAAATATCTGCTGCTGGTATTGAACTCACAATCTTCCGATTTATTATTAACTTCCCTACAAAATAGATGTTGCTTCAGTCGCCATTTTTACCTTTTGCTTCGTTTGCGCTCACACCGCGTCGAGGAAGATATGTAATGAGGAAAATATTATTTTTTTGCTGTGTAATTTTCCAAGAAATAGCACATCATTTTCAGCCTACTGGTAATGTAGAAGCTAGTTACTTCGGTTGAAGTAGCTCCCAATTCTTTGATGTTGAAACATCGACAAAAGTTCATAATACTCCAATTGTTATTGTTGGGTTCGACTAACTTGTCCGTTTCGACGGTGCTAACAAGTCCTATTACAATATATCGGGAGCTATGGCAATCAAGCTAATCGGCTGTAAGAGTAGCATTGCAATTCTGGAGTTTAAGCGGTATACGCATCTTGAGATGGAATTTTGGTATTAGTAACTACGAATAACATCTAGTGCTTGCTGCTTTGCTGAATATGTGTGATAGTGCCCTTTTATTGCGAATGAACGACATTGATGGGAACAATCAATGTCTTCGCAGAGGCGCCAAATGTATGAGCGACTCCGTGCTGGATACACAAGACTTTGAATGTGTGTGTGTATGTATGATCGAACACTCACATACACATTCAATAGTTCTGCCAGAACATTAAATCAACATTGTCATAAAAATTTCGCCAACAAAGCCCTAAACCATGCGAAGGTTAGCTTGTCCTTTCCTTCACTGCCACCCTCTTTCACATACACAAACTTAGCCAATGCGCCACTTATTTTGGTGCGGTAGTTATGTGTCTTATTTACTTTCGTTGGCGCCGTAGCTACATCCCGCGTACGCATGGCAGTGGCGTCGGCTGAACTACTTTTCCCTCTTGACTGTGAAATCGTTCGCAAACATTAACAGCAAGGTTCTTTAGATTCCGACTAATAGGAATAAAATTTTGTAAACATTTTTTTAACCCCAAACGTACCCATACTTCCCCAGATTAGATCTACTGACGTCCCTGACGTGATGAGTCATGTCCTACGTACATGTACGTCACCAGACTGCTTTGTGGTCCTCAATGTCGCATTGCTTAAGGAATCTATAATACATTTCGGTCGTTTCTATTTTATTTTGTTCCTTTTTTGCCGTAGACTTATTCGCTCAAGAGCTTTTAGTGCCGTCTTCAAGGAGCCTCTAATGTCGTAAACACAACTACAACGATTGGGAATCCCGTATTCACACACACAAAACACACATACACACATAAATATGTATGGCCAACAATGCCTTTATAATGTCATCATAGACTTATATAAATATACTTGAGGAGGATTGGACGTGTCCTAGGTTTTCCATAGTAACTCGGCAATTGTTCTACATTCCAATGGATAGCATGATGTGCGAGTGTGTATGTGTAAATAGGGTTAATGTCGCGGATGGTGTGTATAGCCTCAAATGCAATCGTGTGAACATACATACCAATCCTTTAAATGCACATCTACACATTCCCCGGATACATATTTAGAAATAAAAAAAAACACTACTTACATTGTGCGAGGTCCTTTATCTGGCTGGTCCCAGCTGATTTGCTACTATCCTTTCCGAATTATCACGACCACAGCGAGCGCCTGTAATACTATGTACTTCTTAAAGAGGAGTCTGCAATTTTAGCCCGTATTTCAGCAAATTGGCGATTGAAAATATATTAGTCGACGACAACCAATGACTATTGCAATTTACGCTCCGTGAATTCCCAAACAACTTGACGTAGAAGCGCGACGACTGATGGATGGCGTATTCGTTTGCCACTTTTCTCCTGTTGTTGATCCCTTTCAGCGTGCAGACCAACGTGAAACAAAACAAAAACAACAAAAGGCGTGTGGGGGGAGGTGGGAGAATTTTACAAGAATCCGTTTCAAGAGTAGATGTGCTTCAAGCACTTCAGTTCACAGGGACTCACGGACACAATCCCTAGTCCTTCACAAAAAATTTAAAACGCGCACACGGATATGATTTGAAAAGCCAACTATCTGTGACACATCCGATACTTCATATTGGAATCGAATTAGCTTTGCTCTAAACGTATCTTTCACAACTTGTCTTATTTTTTTAATAGTCGGTTATCTATTTTCATTCTTATGGTGGCAGCAAAAAGCAAATCACGCGACGCGCGTCCGTCTTGTTCTGCGGTTGACTTACTATTACTTTTTTCTTGTATGACACTTTTTTACCGATTTAATTTCCTTTGATAAATCGATTATTATAATATCGATTTGTAGAGCCCTGCATAGAACAAAACAAATAAATAATGGAGACAGAAGCATATTCTCATTTCAGTTAGGGTCGCCATCGATTATTTGCCACTTGTTGACCATTAGAGGAAAAGAGATAGCCATATTTTGGTCAAAATCGAACACTCAAGACGGAATTTGTAGGGCATTTTCATTTTGAAACAATTATCGATTTTCCTCACAGAATTTGCAAAATGTTGTAATGCAAAGTGCTGCTTTGTACCCTTTTAAATATTTTACAATGCCAATCTAGCACATATATGTTTTCATAAAGAAGGTAATGTTCAGAAACACTCTTCGTACCTTGGAGAATTTTTAGGATGTCTTTTGTTGTTGTTGGGATTTATGTGAGAAAGTGAGAGTTTTAAGTTTTGTTGTTGGGATTTAACTGAGAGTGCAATGCAGTGTTGCCAACAAGGAAACTGTGTACTACCCACGGAGTATGGAAATATTACATTTGGGGAAAACCTGAACATGTACGAATAATTTTTTAATTTTTAAATAAAATATCCACATTCCTGGTTGAGAGTTCGAAGCGTGCAGAACAAAAGGAGCAGAGCTGTGAAGAGTAAGACAAATCAACTTTAAAAAAAGTGAAAAATAAAAAGAAGAAATTGTGATTTTTGAAACGTGATTACTGCGGAGCGTTGCTGTCGGTGTTTTTCATGAAACATAGAAAAGCAGATTGCTGCAATTCTTTTTGGTGGCAACAAGTAAGAAAATTATAATCAACGTGAACAATAAAAGAATTCGCTGTATTGGTACTGTGGAGCGTCGTTTGATATTTTTGTGCTGCGTAATAGAGCTGACATTGCTGCAAGTCGTTTTGGTGGTAGTTTTGCCTGTTGGCGTTGAGCGGCAAAAACACATTAGTGCATTGGGTAAATTGATGTGCCCTGGAAAAAGTATAAAATTGTGTGTTTTATCCCAAAAATCAACTTTAAATTGATTTCGGGATTGTGTGACGATGGATGAACAAATCATCGATAATGTCCAAGCTATGGACACAGCAGTAACTGTACCACATTTTGAGGGTACCGTTACAAAAGATGACGCTGAAAATAAAGATGTATGTGTGTATGCGAGAAAGAAAAGGGTATTCGATGCTGTTGATGTATGCGAAGGCGGAGGTGAGGTTGGTGAGAACAGAAGGGGCAAAAATGACAAAGCAAATTCCAACACAGAGGATTTGTGCAAAAACCAAAAGAAGAGGCGCGTTAATGAAGAGACGTTGCTGTACACGGAAAATCATAAAGGTAAGTTCATGGTATTAGTGGATACAAGTGAAGTAGGGAATATGAAGAACAAAAAAATAAAAAATGGCCTTTACTTTTTTGAAAAAATCAAAGGTATTAAGGCAAAAGAATTGGAAAAAATTAAGCAAGCAGACGCAATTGGTGCAACTTTATACAAAATTACCTTTGAGACAATGGAAGCGGCAAATATGTTCATTTGCAATGAAGAAATAAAGAAACTGAATATGCGAGTTTTTATTCCGAAAAATTTTTTCCAAACTTTCGGAATTTTAAGAAATATACCTGTTTCATATTCCGAAGATGAACTCCTCAAAGGGATTGTGTCGGATAGGAAGGTAGCCTCTGTGACTAGGTTCACAAGGAAAGATGGTAGTACTGAATCAGGTTTTAGACCAACTGAGACAATCAAGGTTGGTTTCTACGGGGATAACCACCCCTCATGGGTAGTGTTCAATCACGTTGTTCTTGTGGTGGACACTTATTATCCAGCCATCAGGCAATGTTTCAACTGCGGGCGCTTGGGACATACAAAGCTTGGCTGCAGATCTAATCCCAGATGCCGTAAATGCGGTAATGAAGATTGCAATATGACTTGTACCATCAGAAGCTGTATTTTGTGTAAAGGATCTGATCACGTATGTGATGAAAGGAATAAATGTCCAGTCTGGGCAAAAGAAATTGAAATCAACAAAATTATGACTCGAAAAAAGATGTCCAAAAAAGAAGTTTTAAATTCTTATAAACTTCAAAACAGATTTGACCTATCATATGACGAAGCAAACTTTCCCTCTCTCCCAGCAGGCAGTGGTAGTTGTGTGGGAAGGGAAGAAAGTCCAAAAATTAAAACAATCGATGATGACGTTAATGAGGTTTTGACACCATATACATACAACTCTGTGGCAAAAAAACCCAAAAAACCGTACATCCATAGACCTGGGGTCAAAATTGGGAAACGGTTTTTTGAGGAACCATCCCCATCAGGCCCTGTTTATGTAAAAGAGGACCAAAAACTTTCTGAACTGGAAAAAATTACCAAAGAACTTCTCAAATTTATGTACGATTTTTTCAAAAAGGATGAAAATCAAGTGGCAGTGGATGCTATTCAACATTTCCAACAAAGGATTCAAAAATGCGGAGTAACATTTGAAGGTAATAACAATAATACAATCTCAAATGATAATGTTGAATAAATTAAGAATTCTCCAGTATAATATACAATCTTTTAAGAATAACAAAAACTTCATTGAATTCTTTGCTAACAAAAACAACTATGACATCATAATTTTATCTGAAATTTTTTCAGAAGATAAGAGATGCAGAAACAAACTAATCAATTACAATCTTGTGCAAAAATTCAGGCCTGACGGCTATGGAGGAGTGGCCATAGGAGTAAGAAAGAAAATAAATATATCAATAATAGAATATGATACTGATTATGACATCCTGATAATCAAAACCTCAAACCTACAGAGAAATGTCGTCATCGTCTCGGTGTACTTTCCACCAACAACCTCAAATACTTGTTTTATTGAGGAAGTTTCGAAATTGCTTCTCTTCTTGGAAAACTTTCAGAATGTAATATTATGTGGCGATTTCAATGCCCGCAATGAAGCCTGGGGAGATAATCTCACTTCCATTAAAGGCAGGGAACTGCGTATGTTGATTACTGAAGCTGGCTATCTATGTCTCAATAATGGTAAAAAAACCTTTAAAGGTGGGTCCAACTCCCAGGGATCAGTTCCTGACCTAACTTTTCTCAGCAACGTGTCTGGGGGTAACTGGAATGTTCTGGATGGACATTTTGGGGGCAGCCGTCATCTACCAATTACCTTTGAAATTAAAGCGGATAAGCCTAAAGGCCAGAACTTCTTACACAAAGCAAAATTAATGAAAGCACTGGGTGAGTTAGAGCTAGAACCTGACATGCTAGCTATAGAGGATGCAATGAGTTCAGAAATAAAAGCTGCATCTAACAATCTAAGTGCCAATAGATCACCCAAGTATTGGTGGAATGATTCCTTGAGTGTTGCTTACCGAAATCAACTTGCAGCTTTAAAGAAAGCAAGGAAATATCCTAATTATCAAAACCTATCTAAAGCTAGTCAAGAGGTAGAGAATTGGAAAATGAAGGTCAAAACGGCAAAAAATGATAGTTTTCTCTCCAAAATCAATGAACTTAACAGAAATGCAAATCCAAGAGAAGCTTGGAGATTTGTTAACAATGTAAGGAACAGAGAGTCTGCGGAGGCGAGACCATGGAATAATGACCGGAGCGGTCACTTTCTTCAGTATCTCAAAGACCAAGTACCTGGTGATTTGCTAGAAGTACCTAGCTATAGTGATCAACACAATTTCCATGACAAAATCATTTTTGACTTTGATCACTTTGAGAAAATATTATCGGAAAAGAAAAAAGGGTCTGCCGGAGGGCATGACAAAATAACATACGAAATGATCAAGGCGTTACCCGGCATTTCTAAAAGAGCTATTCTGACAGCTCTATATAATGCCTTTTTAGAGAACTCAATCAATGACAACTGGAGGATTATTAAAATAGTCCCAATTCCAAAACCTAACAAGGATTTAACCGACATGTCAAATTATCGCCCAATATCTCTCATTTCTGTCTTTATGAAAGTCATCAATCTAATGCTTAAAGATAAGCTAGTACAATTCATTGATGATAAGGAAGTTATTCCAGCGAGATCTTTTGCATATAGGAAAAGTAGGTCTACATCTACATGCTTAAATGAATTCCTTCACCGCGTTGCACTGCTAAAGGCCAACAACTATAAAGTACTAGTTCTGTCGTTGGATATAAATAATGCCTACAACTGCGTGAGAGTGGATATTCTCGGGCAAATCTTGAGAAAGCTCAACCTCAACGTATCAATTGTGAATTGGATAATAAACTTTCTATCAAAAAGGATTCTGAGATTGGGTGACAAAGAAGTTGTGGTGAAAAACGGCTTACCACAAGGAAGCTGTCTTTCTCCTCTGCTCTTTAACATCTACACAGCAAATCTTCATAAATTGGAAGATAATAAAACATTAATTTTTCAATATGCAGACGACTTCCTTTTGATGGTCTTTGATCACGATTTTGACATGGCTTTACAACACCTACAAACTAAGGCAGTGGCTTTTCAAAGGAAATGCGGTAATATAAATCTATCCTTCAATCCAGAAAAGTCGAAGACGATTTATTTTGCTAAAAATAGTACCAAACAAATTCTACTAAACGTAGATGGATGTAGAATAGAACAGGTGAAAAAAATGAAATTTTTGGGCAGAATTATCTCAAATTCCTTATCGGTCAAAGATCACTATTCACATATCAAGGATCCAGTAAGCAACAGAACCAGACTGCTCAAATGCCTTACCCCCCCTAAAGGAGGCCTACATCCAAAAGTGTCTCTAAATTTATACAAAAGCCTTGTGAGAGCGAAAGTAGACTATGGTAGAACTACGACTGCCAACTCACCAAAATATGTCAATAACAATATCGAAAGACTTCAAAATGAGATGATAAGAAGATCCCTGGGGGTTAGTAGATCGACACCTAATCACGTTATATATGCCCTAGCTGGAGAATTGCCTCCTAAGTATAGAGCCAAACTCCTCACCGCAAAGGAGATACTTAAGATCAAGCTGGAAAATA